TATTCTACTTTAGTTTTTGTTGATAATAACTTTTTGAATGAGAATAACTATTAAGGGGGGACCCCACCCTGAAATGGTAAAATATTAACGTTTTTCTCGAATTTTTAAGTAATAGAGACAATGAAGAGACTCCTTGTTTTTTTAATGTTATTTAGTTACAATTTAAGTCTATTTTAAAATTTTTTTCTTTTACAAAATAATGAAAAATGAGTTGGTGGCAGCTCCGTGTGTGACTGGTCATCAAAAAGTAGCACCTCACTGGCCTCATGGATTTAGAAGTCCTGAAACATGGGAAAACGATTTTGTTTAGATTTTCTGAAACATAAAGACATTATCTATAAAATACCATAGTGGTTTTTTGATATTCGCAAAATTACCAAAATGGCGGCAACTTAAAAAAAAGTTAAGTTTTTCATTAAAAAAATATTCATTAAAATACTAATATCAAATCGAAATACAAAAATATCAAAAAAATCCTATGCTACTTTCTAAATAATATATTTTTACGTAATTTAAAATAAAGAACAACTTATTTCGTTGTATAGATCATGAGGAAAACGTTAGGCCAGGTCAAAAAACAGCGTTTTGAGAAAAACGCGTTTAAAGTTTTGACTTATGGTAGGGGAAAACGTTTAATTTCATATATATAATGGTCGATAAATGAAATGCCTACAATAAGTTTCCATATACAGTCAACCGAATGGATGAGACCCAAAAAGAATGTCGCCCCTCTTAATCCGGCCGAACGGGCCTTTCTACCTGCTTAGCGACGACTCTCTATTTTCCGGTATAACTTCGAAGCGAAGTTAGGTACCGAGAAATCGTACCTAATACAAAGATTCGAAAAATGCAATAAAATTTTTTTCGAATTTTTGAAATATTCAGAGTGGGGTTCCCCCTTAATGTTTTACCCCAAATGCTTCAAATAATATTTAAAAATTATAGAATTCAATAATTTTGGCCTTCAATTATTCAGACATTCAAAAGTCTTGAAACAGGGATTTCAGGTCACTATAGTTCAGAAACAAAATAAATCAGTATCAGTTAATTATTTTTTAAGAGACACAATGAAGGAAAATAAAATTCAATGTATTTCTGTACAATTTCTAGCGTCAAAAATGCAAGATAATTTTGGCAATTTTTATCAGCATTGTTAGTTATTTAGTTAGTTAGTCTGACAGCAAGGGGACTCCAACTCACAATCCGTCTCCCACTGAGGATATATTTTACGTCAGGACAATAATCGGCGCGAGCCGGCTGCAGAAAAAGAATCAACCAGCCATCGCCGGTATTCGAACCCGGGATGGGATGACTCAAGATAATGGGATAACTTGAAATTCTATTAGAATTTTTTTATCTTATCGTAAACAAGTAAACTATAGTAAAAAAAAAATTTTTTTTTAAGAGACTCAAAACAAAATGGGTGAATATACGGTAGGCAACTTTTTTCCAAGGAAGATATTTTTTTGGAAGATGTAAAGTAAAATCCTGGTCAGTTAGATTACCAAACCAATAGCCCCCTGCAATTCTTCTGTAAGGATGAAAACAAAGTTAATTTCGATATAGGAATAGTAAATTTTATTTTGTTTATTTACTGATTTTTGAAAGAATAACACAATTTTTAACTATCAGAAACAAGATCCCCAGATAATAATTATTTTTAACAAATGAAAAAGTCAAACAATAAATCAAGCAATAAAACTCCGTATTTAAACAAAATGCAATTTTAAATAATCAACTTATAAGCTAGGGATTCAGTGAAGTTCGATCAACCAGAGCTGTCAATCTTCCGTAATAAACGTAAAATTTAGAGGAAAAAAATATAAAATTTAGGAAAATAAAATATTCTGAAATAAAATAACATCTCATTTCTATATTTTTTTCAAAAGAGGTAAATCAATACTTATAAAAAATTTAAATGTTTTATTACTGCAATTTTTCAAATACCCAAATTAAAATTGTAGAATTCACAAGCAGTTTTTTCCTTCCGAGAAAAAGAGTAAAACTGAAATGCATGACAGGAGTTTTCGAAAAGTGTCACCTTTTGGTCAACTTGACAAGCATTGAATCGAAGGTGTTTGAAGTTTTTCAACGCATAAAGTGTGAAGGTGAGGGGTTGAACAAAGAGCAAATTCGAATTCTTCGATATGTTTTTAATGTAGGGAGTGCAAAAAACAAATTCGAAATCTCAGATATGTTTTTAATGTGGGGATACCAAATTGCTTCTCTTTCTGGAAATAATTTTTCTGGCAGAAAAATATATGTTCATACTTGGTCTAGGAAATTCTATTTAAAGTTTTATTACTCCCCCCCACTATATTTAAATAATCAAAACATTTATATATTATGCTACTTTTAAATACGTTAACTTGTTTCGCTTTGTCGGAAATTATTTATTCAATTTAAGTGGTTTTTCCACCACTACTTATCAAAATTTCAAAGAATCATATGCGAATGAAATGCTAATTTTTTGCAACTACGTCGTGGTGGCCCTTTAACCCCTTGGGGACGGTTGATCCAGAAAAGCATTCGTACAAAATCAGAATCAAGTTGTAATTAAATAAAAAACGGTAACTTAAATGTAGTCGTTGCTGATTTGACAGAATTACTTTGCTTTCACTTTGATTATTATTAGTTTAAACATATATATAATCAATGTTATATATATACACTGGTGTGCAGAACTTAAGCAACAAGTGGTTTTTCGGCCACAGCTTCCCAACAAAGTAAAAGATAGCCATGAAATTGCAGTATAATATGCACGTAATTCAGTAGAAAGTTTATTTGTATGCAAGTTTCAGAAATAAAACGTCGTAGGTGATGTAAGTGTACGTAAACCTTGTGGGTCGGAGCGCGCAGTTCAAAGCTGTGATAAAAGGATGAAGAGCACCGTAGTTAAAGACATTCGCTGCATGTGCAAGTGATTTGTTTTGTGAAACATGTCTTCAAGAAATCATTTAGACGACTTTACTCGAGGAAGAATGATTGGGAAGCTTGAGGAGGGGCGTAGTGTGACCAGTGTCGCCGAAGAGTTCGGAATCAACAAAAGTGTTTTTCTCGTGCTTGGAATTCCTTTAAAACTACTTGTACAGCTGTTCGGAAGGTTGGTGGTGGCCGTTCAAGGAAAACAACACCAAGATATGACCGTTACATTGCCCTCCAGGCGAAAAGAAACCGTTTTCAGTCAGCGAGCGCCATATCTCAGCAACTGTGCACAGCAACAGGACGACTAGTATCAAGATTTACAGTAGCCAGACGCCTCCACAAAGGTGGCTTATTTGCTAGACGTCCTGAACGCTGCATACCTTTAAAAGTTAGCCATCGACGGCACCGTTTAGAGTGGTGCAGAGAACACGAAACCTGGATACCTCATCGATGGAGTCGCGTCCTCTTCACAGATGAGAGTCGTTTTAGTGCTACAAGCGATTCTCAACGTCAGTTGATCTGGAGAAAGGTTGGAGCTCGATTTCATCCTAATAACATCGCGGAAAGAGATCATTACTGTGGTCCTGGAGTTGTTGTCTGGGGTGGCATTATGTTGAACGGGCGGACTGAGCTTCAGATCTTCGACCGAGGTTCTGTAACTGGAGACCGCTACTGCAATGAGGTAATCCTACCCCATGTGCGTCTGTTCCGAGACTTCGACCAGACTTCATTTTTATGGATGTTAATGCCCGGCCACACCGTACTGCTAATGTTCAAGAGCTACTGGAAAGTGAAGATATCAAATGAATGGATTGGCCAGCTTACTCTCCAGGTCTAAATCCCATAGAGCATGTGTGGGATGCTTTAGGAAGACGTCTTGCGACACGACAGTATCCTCGGGGTAGGAACCATCTGCTGAAAGATGCGTTAAAGAAGGAATGGAGACGTTTAATCCAAGAACTCCTGGATAATCTGGTGCTTAGCATGGAGAAACGATGCCAAGTAACAATTACAGTAAGGGGAGGGCATATCCCATACTAGGGAACTATCCCATACTAGGGAACTATTCCATACTAGGGAACATACTTTATATTCATTTCTTCTCCGTTATTCTTTTACCATCGTTTAAGTACAAAATAATGTACCTGTCGTGGAACTGATCTTATGTACGAGTTTTATGATAATGTTAATCATTCCAGATGTTTTACATGTTTAACTGAAATTTTACGTTCTCTCAAAATTATCATTAAAAAAAACAGTATGAATTTCTAAGAATCACATTTTTACTAAAATTTCATAGGGTGTTATAAAGTTTCATGTGGAGTTTTCTTTTTTAACTATACTGTGTTCAACAAAAAAGTAAAAGAAAAAACTTAGAACTCCCTAAGAAGGCTCTGTTATTTTATGAGGGAAAACCAGAAAAACTTTGATAAATATTTTTTTGTAAAATATATTTAAAACTAAATCAGAATAACAAAATCCATCTTCTCTATATAAGGAAACGAAACTCTTGTGCAATTAAAATTATACAACCGGTTATAATTTGCTTCACTTTGGGATTTACTTTGGGTTTCTTTGTCTAATAAGGGTTCCGCAGTGAACTGATTGTTACGACACGGTTTCTAGTAGAATGCCGAAGTTAAGCATCACTGGTTGCGGTCAGTGTGTGGGTCAGTGACCACTTTGATCAGCCTATAAAGGACCGAGGGTGTGCTGTATCAGTCCTCGTTAAACTGTTCTACTGTGAAGTGCTCGACTTCGTGCGCAGGTTCGAAGGAGAGGAGCCGTCACCTCTGTAGAGGATTAAAATTTTGAGGGCATGTCTTAGGATCATCCTCATGGATGTTTCCCAGACTGTCGCCTATAACCCACTGTGCAGCTCTAGTGTGACGTAAATAAACAACATCGTTTGCCTAATAAGGAGGTCTGTACTTGTGAGAATCGTTCTCAAAACAGAGAAATGAAAACAAGTAATGTCATTACTCTTCAATAAGACGAACTATTGAATAAATATTGTCCTTTTTTTAAGAAATTTACTCTAAAGTAAATTATTTCCTTCTATCTTTTATTTGCAGGTGACCGTACCTTACCACAGCATATCATCACCAAAAAGCCGCTTCGCTGTTTTGAACAACCACCATTCCTATTTCGTCCTCGTAGATAATGGAACTGTTGGTAAATATGGTGCTGAAATTGCTCTACGGAAGAAACTCGAAAAGTACATATCCCAGCAGAAGATTTACACCAGTAAGCAACGTAAAAATTCCATAAAGAATGAAATCACATTTAAAAAATGATAGCGCACATTTATTGAAATGATAATGTGTTTGAAATATTAAAAAAATGATGTATTTTCTTCTAAAAATTTTATTATATTTCAGAAGTTTTAAACTTGAAAATTTTCTTGAACTTGATTTTTCAACTTAAGAATATTTTTATATGTATATTCGCATACGCATATAAATAATCCAACCATAAAAACCATACATAAGTATGCGGTATTTCAGGAAATAAAAAGAGGTTATTTAAGTACTGACAGAATCGAAATAAAAACTTGTAATGCTCGGATTGCTAATTTACAATCCAGTACGACTCGCTCTCTTTTTTTGGCTATTGTTGGTCGCAATTAAAAGGCAAGTTTTCATTTCTTTTAAATTTTGTTACCTGTACTTATACTAAAAAGTTACGAAGAAAAGTTTTAAAAATCGCTGCATTGGAAAATCGCGTAGGGTAAATAGTATTGTGATACGGAATCAATTGACGTGATATTTTCAGCCCATGGAATTCATATAAAACCACTTAAAAGTACTTTTGGGTAATGATAGAGAGAAAGAGCTGGTGTTATATGTAGGAAAGAGGGGCTAGTGTGGATATGGGGCTAGAGTACACAAATAGAACATTTATGTTATTTATCATTCGAAAAAAACATGTTAATTTTTACAGATTGAAAAAACTGTGTCACACATANTAAATTGGCCGGGATAGTCTGGTCGGTAGAGCGCTGGACCCATGTCCGAGAGTTCGTGGGTTCGAACCCCGCCGGCCGAAGACTCCCCGTGTAGTAACTGATGCACGTTTAATCTGTCGAGTCGCAAAAGTCCTCCATGTTCCCACAGCAAATCAATACCTCTGGGGGTACTGGATTGGAGATCGATCGTTCTCTGATTCAGGGCAAAATTACGATCGATGGATGAATGAAGGGTTCCGCCCTATAAACGGGTGCGATGTATGGTGTGTCAGAAGTCGAATTATTGGCCATAGATGGCGCCACTGGAAAACAAGAACAATCGCAACCCTTCTGCCTAAACAGGCATACGTCAACAACAACAAGTTTTGAACTTGATTTTTAAACTTAAGAATATTTTTTATAAGTAAATTCGCATACGCATATAAATAATCCAGCCATAAAAACCATACATAAGTACGCGGTTTTTAAGGAAATAGAGAAAGAGGTCATTTCAGTACTGACAAAACCGAAAAGAAATTGTAATGCATGGGTTGCTAGTTCACAATCCAGTACGACTCGCAATCCAGTACGACTTTTTTGGATACTGTTGGTCGCAGTTACAAGGCAAGCTTTTATTTCTTTTATAATTTTATAACCTGTACTTATACTAAAAAAAAGTCAAGAAGCAATTTTTTTTTATTTAGGAAAATGCCAAAAAGGAGAATGGGTCATTAAAAATCGCGCGGGGTAAGTAGTATAGTGCTATGGAATCACGTGACGTGATATTTTCAGCCCATGGAATTCATATAAAACCACTTAAAAGTACTTTTAGGTAATGATAGAGGGAAATAGCTGGTGTTATATGTAGGAAAGAGGGATTAGTGTGGATATGGGGCTGGAGTACACAAATAGAGCATTTATATTATTTATCATTTTAAAAAAAAACCTGTTAATTTTTGCAGATTGAAAAAACTGTGTCACACATATATATTGTTACAAGAGAAAAATATAGAAAGTTAAATAAAAATTTAAAAGTCGCGATTTTTATGGTGGAAAAATATCTCCTTAATTTTTGCTTTAATTGTATCTTCAGACTATTTTATGGGAAATATTATACCATTTATGAATATGCTAATATGAACAAAAAGGACATATTATATTATTAATGAAAATGCTTATATGGACTAAAAGGAAATATTATGATTATTAATACGTATTATGAAGGAATATGTTTATTATTACATATTGTAATAAACATATTTTATTTGCATCTGGATGCATTGGTGTGCGATATATGTGTTCACGTCATTTTTATATTTTTCTTTTAAAGAAAAAGACTATGAAAAATTATACATCTAGATTAGATTATCTATAATTTAAAATGAAGATAAACGTTCAATGTTTAATGAAAAAGTGCAAGATATGTTCAAATTAATTAGTAAGTATTTTTAGTAAATTTGTAATAACTATCAAACTTCTTCACTTAGCTTATTTGTTTGCCAGTAAATATTTTTTTCATCTCGTTGTTTGATTTTGTTAACTATTGTTTTTATGTGTTTTGCCGTTTGAAAAAATAAATATAAATTTTATGACCATCGACTTCTGATTGAAGTATTCCGACACGCAAGAAATTCCTACTTTCGTTTCATCTTCTTATTCTTAAGATTATTCTCGTCCCCAAATAGAGCCACTTGTGCTAGCCAAAACACATTTCCGCTTACTTTAATCGATACAGAAAATCTTTCGCAACTACTGAAAAAAAATAAGGTTTCTGTTAAATTTATGTAAAAACTTTTGTATTTAAAAACAGAGAAAGACTATTTACATTTTAATGGAGACAAGTTAAAAAAAGATTAAAAATTTCATCTACCTTACATTTTAAAATGTTTTTGAATTATTATTATACAAAATGAAAATCATTTTTAAAATATATTCCTTAAACGTGTTTATATTCATTTCAACTAGTTTAAAAATGTGTTAAACGTATTGAGTTCGAAAAATATGGCAAAATTAAAACAAGTTTTAAGGTATAAACATTTTTAATCTCATGCCTAATCAATCTCATCAAGGGATCCGTGTTTTTTTAATAAAAACTGTTTGACGATTCCAAAATTCAGTGGCAAGTTAAGAAAAAACCATCATCCCTATGGAGGAAGCTTATTTACATCGAAGTGCACGCCAAATGGAAGCCAAGCTTCCAGCGTGAACATGTATCAGCATCACCAACTCTTAAAACAGCGTTGTACAGCCTTCTTTTTTCTTGCTTTCTTAAATAGTGTGAAATGAGTTTGAGTTTCTACCACTTTCTGCAATAATAGTTGAATTGAGTTTCTACCACTTTTTGCATAAATAGTCGCCTGTGGCATGCCTGCTACAATAAATACATTGTCATTTGTATAATGTAGTATATATCGATAGCATATCTGTTCGTCCCGCAGTGGACTGATCGTAAAGACACTGTTCCATACCTGCCAACTTTCAATCCTTTCCATTATAATTTTTCCCAGTGGTATTAAAATGGAATTAAAACTTCAATTTTAAGCAAACAAATACGTTGTATTTGAGCAAACTTAAGTTGACAACCATGATAGTAACGCATATTGATATATGTGCTTAATTTTTGTAAGAATAGTGGTGATCAAAATCATTTAAAAATTGAATTTACAATAGAAATAATAGTATATATTTACTACCACTTTAAATATGAAAATAAAATCTTCCGGAACAGTTGGCAGGTATACTGTTCCCAGTAGAACACCGAAGTCAAGCATCACTGGCTGCGGTCAGTAAGCGCCTGCGTAGGGACCGAGATTGCCGGGTATCGGTCCTCCTTAACACGTTAAATGCCACTCTAATTTTACATGGCTTGCGCGTCTGGCCATCACCTCTTACATCAAGAAGCCTCCACACGGTCTTTTATAAGTAGTCCGCGCAGACTGTTTAAAAAGTGAACCAGTTGTGCGCATGAACCCAAAACCTTTTATAAAAGTAATAGAGAGATATTTATCTTATATATTTAAGAATTGAATCTGCAGTGGTTGATAAGTGAATAAGGCAAACTAATAATATTCATAAATAAAATAAATTTTTAGTCATATATTTGCTACCACTTTCTTATTTTAACTATATTCTTTATTAAATGACTCGTTCGGTAAGTGGATATCCTTCACAGTAATCTGATCGGACTACCTATAAAAAAACCGTGTGGAGGCTTTCAGTTATAGGAGGCGTTGGTCTGGCCAAACAGTACATAACTATAAACTAAATTTGCAAATATGAGAGATTTTATTTATAAAAAATTGGGCAGCGCAGAAAGCCCATATCCCATACATAATTAAATAAAATAAAAAGTTAAATTAAAAAACAGTTTGAGTACAGAAGTCTATGGGGTGGCTTTTACTGGGAGACAAGCACCTTGCTTGTGTAACTGAAAGAAAATGAAAATAATAAGAGCAACTTGCTGTAATCTTTGGATGGCTGTAAACTGATTGTCAACGTGAAGTAACATAGGTCAGGATTTCAGTATTGGTATGACGTATCTTTAAAAAGTGGTGAATTTTATAAGCCTACGAATTGTTTAGAAATAGTGATAATTAAAAATCTAATAAATTGAATTAATTAAAATAAGAATCACAATTAATAAACTACCACTTGAAAACATTTATTCGCTGCCTGGAGCAAGTTGGCATCTCTGTGTATAAAACTATTATGTGTTCTATATTGCATTAGTTTAGCTTGGTGCAACATCTCTACATCACTCCTTAAAAAACTCAAAATATGCCAGAACAAAATCCTCAGGAAAATAACAAAAGCAAGATGGTTTATCCGCAATAAAAACATACATAGCGACCTCAACATAGATTTTTTAGATCATCACATTGCAAAGCAAAACTTCAGATTTTTTGAAAAGACCATATATTGTGACACCGCAGGATTCAACGAAATTTTTACTTTCGAAAACTTAAGAGAAGACATAAACCTCAGGCCGATTGCAGCTCATTTTTGTAGTGACATAATTTTAACTAAAATACAAAATATTTGATTTCCTTTTATTCCAATTACCAGAAAGAACCACCTTAAAGATTAAATACAAGATGAATGGGAAAAAGGCCGCTAACGGCCCCAGGCGCCCAGTTATATTTCGATGATGATGATGATGATTGCATTAGTTTCTTGAAACCATTTTAGTAACGATAGTAATATTAAAAAAATTAAAAATTTACTCAAATTATGTGTTTCTAATAATCTTGACTTCGCCAGTCACCGATGACCCCCGTGGAGCTGCAAACTAACTCAGTGCCGGCCACCGTTGACTCCCATGGCACTCCACGTGTTAAACTGTTCTACCTTAAGGTGCTCGACTTCGCGCTCACTTCGTCGGGCTGCCAAAACAGGCGAGCCAATCCTCTGCAGAGGATCAAAATTGTGATATCATGTGCGATGGAATTATTTTTTGATAAACAAGTGTGAGAGAAACGTTTTTGTGTTTTCGTAGAAAAATAGTTTTTGTATGTTATAGGAGCTGAAATGGAAGCCTGCGGAGTGCCTGTAGTGTGTGTAGTTGTAGAAGGTGGTCTGAACACTATTAGAACAGTTTTAGAATATGTAACTGACACGCCTCCAGTTCCTGTGGTCATTTGTGATGGAAGTGGAAGAGCTGCTGACCTTCTCGCATTTGCTCATCGTTATATGCATGATTATGAGTAAGTGCATTCATTTGAAACTATTCGAACTGTTGGCATGCTTAACAGGTGTTATATAACATGATGCATGTATAACAGGTATTATATAACTTTAGAACAGGTGTTCTCAGCTTATGGGTCCCTATTTTACTTTGGTTCACGTCATCTTCGTAAGTAGGTTGCCAATGTTTATCAAACAATGAAATTTTTTATAGAAAACAAAATCGTGAGATCTTTCCGAGTAAACAGGGAAGTATTTAAATTTAGTTTATCAATCCTTTGATTATTTACTTTGCCAATCTTGTGATTATTTAGTTTATCAATTATATGACTATTTAGTTTTTCAAGCCTAGAGATATTTTGTTTATCAAACCTATGGCTCTTTAGTTTAGGGGTAAGTATAAAATACTTAATTTACAATATTTAGTTTATTAATCGTATATACGATAACCGTATATACTAAATAATCATATATGATAATTTAGTTTATCAATCCCTATTTTATTTAATTTATCAATCCCATTTCGTAAATAAATAAATCTTATTATTGTTGAATGTTGAGTTTATTAATACTATTTTAATGTAGTTTAGTAATCCTATTGTAATTTAATTCATCATTTCTATGACTACTTAGTTAATCAATCCTATGATTGTTCATTTATCAACCTTTCTTTTTATTTAGATTACCATTCAGTTTATGATATTTGATTTACGATAGGTAGTTTTTCAATTCTCTGATTATATTTTTATCATTTCTATAAATTTTATTTTATCAATCCTTTTTATTATTCGAGCTTATAAATTCTATTGTTATTAAATTTATCATTCTTATGATTATTTAGTTTATCAGTCCTATTAACCTATTACTCTTTCTATTATGAATCAAATTTTATTTAGTTTATCAATCCTATTTATATTTAGTTTATCAATTGATTAAATAATGAAACTTTTTATTAAAAGGGAAACATGCTAAAATAAAAACTATAACAACTATGCATTAGAATAAAATTTTAAAGAAAATATTACTATCTTTTTTATGAATTGTTCGTAAATAAGATTTATTATATCTAAATGAGAAATGCCATTCCTGACTTGTTTATAGCTATAGCGCACAAATATAATTGGTTCCAGTTTGATATACATAGCGATTGATAATTTTAATTAAACAGATTCAAATCTTATTTATACTTTTACTTTCCTTTTTAAAAAAAACCGCAGTAAAAATAAATTTTACATGCAAATAACACTAAATTTTTTTTGCGATTGCTTATACTCATAAACAGTTCATTATTTCTAAGAATTAATTGAAAGTAAAAAAAAAAAAAACTTTTTATTCTATCTTTTTTTTGTTGTTGTTGTTGTAGTCCTAGAACATGTTTAGACTATCATTAAATAATACCTATAAGATACGCATTTTAATCAGACTACGAGAAATACAGATCTATTCATTCACAAATTTTTTTTTAGAGTAGGAATTCTATCTAATAAAAAAAATTTCGTTATATTTTTATAATTCTTGATACTCGCTAAGTTTGCTATTTCTGAAAGCAAATTGAAATTGAAAAAGTTTTTATCCTGTCTTTTTTTTTTCTTTTTTCTTTCTTTTTTGTGCAAGTTGTTGTCTTAGTAAATGTTTGTACTATTCTTTAAATAGTACCTATATGCTAAGTATTTTAATCAATTACAGATCTATTGATTCTCAAACGTTTTTTGAAATAAGAATTCTATCCAAATAAAACAAGGCGGTACAGTTAGTATAAAAAAATAAATTACATACCATGGGCTGTCAGAATTTCTTTTTTTACTATTTTTAAATTTAACCTAGTTTTAGCAAGATAATTCCTTAGACCGGGATAGCCTGGTTGGTAGGGCGCTGAGCCCACGTCCAAGAGTTCGTGGGTTCGATCCCGCCAGCCAAAGACTCTCCGCGTATTATACGGTTACTGATGCACGTTAAATCTGTCGAGTAGCAAAGTCCTCCATGTTCGCATAACAAAATAATACCTCTGGGGGTACTGATCCAGGAGTTTCCTTGTCCTCTAGATTGAGTCGAAATTACAAGGCTACGGAGTTGAACATTAGTTATCGTAAACCCAAACTTGTGTCGACTGTTCAACGACCGATATAAAAAAAAGATAATTGCTTCGCTGTAACGACTAAACTCTCATAGGTCATATATATATANCATTTGGCGAAATTTTACTGTAACTTTAGTTTTTAGAGAAATTTTATTGTAATAATTTTACTTTTATCTCCGTATACCCCCCTGGGGTGGGTCGGAGTTCAACCTTACTTATATATATATATATATTCATTCTAGCTCTCTTTTGGAAGATGTGAAAGAACAGCTTCTCACGACAATCGAAAGAACTTTTCACTTAAGCAGAGAAAATTCTGAAAGATTACATGCTGAACTCATGCTATGTGTCAGAAGGAAAGATTTGGTAAGTACTTGATTTAGTAAAATATAATTGTTCCTTAGTATTGTTTCAAAATAGATACTTTCAAAATATTCGGACTTGCCATAAGAGGACAACACAATGCACAAAAATATCTTTTAGTTTACATAGAAAACAGGTAGTTACCACTTTTTTGTTTTTAGCCGTAAAACTAGTGGTAACAAAATTTTTCTCATTAATTTCCGTGATTTGATTGATATCAACTAGTTATAGTTGCAGTTTTTTTCCGGGGTACAAACAGAGCTTTATGAATGTGAACACGCTTGTCTTATTTCATCAATGCAAATTTAAAAAAAAAATAATAACAATTTAAATGCTTCATTATTTGTTTTGGGGGAAATGGGTACGTTGTCTTTCACTCATACCTTTCAGCTACTCTGTTGAATTTCTGCAACTTGCGAAAATATTTTTATAGTTGAATCAAAGGTTATGTATTATTTATAACAAACTACAGTTCAAAGAATTTCGTGCATATAAATAAAATACACAGATTTGTTAACCCTTTCGCGCCGACTGTCACAAATACCTGTCAGCATAAAACCGTATCAATCATGGTACAAATATAAAACTGGTAACCAAAGTAGAGTTCTTTAGCAGTTTATTTGTGAGCGGAGTTATAATTATTTGATTTATTTTAATTCACCATTACTTCAGTTCAAAATAAAATTATTCCGCTATACTTTGAACTAGCATTGATTATATATATGATTAAACTAACAATAATTAAAGTAAAAGCAAAGTAAGTCTGTCAAATTAGCAACGACTACATTTAAGTTACCGTTTTTTATTTAATTACATCCTGATTTTGTACGAATGCTTTTCTGAATCACCCGTCCCCTTTAATCTGTACTTGTTTATATATTAATTTAATTTCATATTTTAATCACAACCTATGATTGCATCAAATTTAATACCAATCAATGCTTAGATATCAATTGTGCTTTTTATATTCACGAAAATTTCTGATTATTGCATAAATCATGACTTATATTAAATATCAAATCATGTTTAATTTATCAAGCAAATATGCTTGATCTTCTGTAATGTTACCTAAATGCTGCATAATTCAAAATGTTTTTTAATTCAACTTGTAAATACTTCATGATGAATGGGTTAGGGGCCGCTGCGCGGCCCAGGCACCCAATATTAGTTAAATAAAAATAAAAAGAATCACCCGTCCCCAAGGTATTAAAGGTCAAATAAACAAATGGCCATATTCATAAGTTAAATTCAAATTCTGTTTCTTTTAAAAATTCCTGTTTTTGTTTACTAACACTGGAAACAATATTACGCAAAAGCCTTAGTTGTTGAATGGGTGTGCAATAGTAAATTTCCCACCACCTTTAAATTTAATATTTCTGTTTTGAGGCTTATCATTATTTTTTGAGATTTCAAACCTTCATCTTTGAAAGTTTGACATCAACTTGATAAATAATCACAGTATTATTTAGTTACCTTTCAGCAATTTACTTTTTTCTTTTCTCTGCAGATAACTGTCTTTCGAATGGGTGAAGGTCCATGTCAAGAATTGGATCAAGCAGTTTTAATAGCCCTTTTGAAAGGTAAGAAATAATGTTAGTCGTCACGTCTTTAATGTCCAGATTAACTTCTGTCCACCACCGACCTTAGGATACTTTTGGATATCCAGCAACGCTACGTGATATGCTTCACAGTGTTTCATTTCCTTTCTCTGGCACTCTATCATTGTTAATTCCTTTGTTCTACTGCGACAACTTATAGATCTCTTTTAGGATATTTTTGTAATAGAACTGTGTTTATACCAACTTTTAAAATTATATTTATTTAATAGATATCAATCTATTTAATTTATTGTCGTTATTTTTTTTTTTTAACAAAGACACGGGGTGCTTTGAAAAATTAATAAGACATAAAATAGATTGTAGATAAAATGCAACTTCGCAAATGCAGCAATACGAACCGAGTATGTCCAGGCATATAAATTTAATCTTTAAAAAATGTTAAATTTTAATTTTTCTTGCAATCGTAGATAATCTTATCGATTTCAATTCAACTTTTAATTTAAGAATTCATACTTGATGTTTTATCATTTATATTTATTTATTTTAAAAACAAATTTTCTTATAGAAAAAAATTAGTTAAAACATGTTGCCACTTAATTCAATTTTTAACCCTTTGCACTCTGACATCGTCTCTGAGCAATACCTATTAGAAAAGAGAAGGCCTCAGCACGGGTCACCATAAACAAGAAATTTGATCCTTTAGTAGCCCAAACGTAATGACATCTTTCTTATTTTTCACCCACTGCTCAGTTTATGTTCGTTACGTCGGATAACTGAATTGATCCGTGCTGAGGCCTTCTTTTTTCTAGGAGATGTTGCTCTGAGGCGCCATTAACAGTCACTACTCTAAAATTCAAAATTTTGATATCTCAATTATTAGTAACTACTTTATTTTAAGAATGACAATTCATCGGCACCACAGTATGCGAGCAAACTAAACGGGTCGCATTACTGGTAACTTAGTATGATGAGCTACCCAGAAATAAGTGGTATTACCAGGACGCCTAGGTCATCACTGTATCAGAGTCTCAGACTAGGTAGTTGCCGGGCTACCTATTGTTTATATAACCTTTTCTTTCTCGTTGACAGTTTTTGTCAATCTCGTGTAAATATGTAAATAGATTTTCTCAACTTTTTTCTGTTTTACTTCACTCGCGTAAATGTTAATAATATTCAGACCCATGTAAATATTATTATATTCTAATCTAATCTAGTTTAATCTCAATTATGTTTAATTTCCTATCGATTTCATCATATGGTCAACCGACTTGTAATTAAACCAAGAATCATAATTGATAAACTACCACTTTAAAATATATATTTGTTGCCCGAAGCAAGTTGGCATCTCTGTATATTTTATTCTTGAATAAATAAGTGTTATAGCTTAGAATCCTATGTAAATGATAAATAGCAGAGATGCCAACTTGCTCCGGACAGCAAATATATATTTTAAAGAGGTAGTTTATCAATTGTGATTCTTGGTTTAATAAATTCAATTTAGTAGATTTTTATCCACCACTATTTCTAAATAATTCGTTAGCTTATGCAATTCACCACTTAAAAGTATTCATGTTATGCTATACCTTTTAAAAAGCAAGCAAAAATAGTCAAATATTTGCAAAATTTACTATGTTGTTATTTACCGTATTTTTAATTATTTTTGCGCGTCCGGAGCAGTTGGCATCTCTGAAATAGCAGTAAAACGATTTTTTTTTCTTAGCTTTCACATTGTTATTTCAATTGTCGATTATATTCAAGTGTGAAAAATTATAGCAGCATGAAATACAACGCCGCTCGAACTATAATGAGCGTGGCCTGTTTAGCGCGCTCGAATTAACTCGAGCTAAAATTTAGTTGATAATCTTTCTAGTTATCCCATCATTTTTAAAATGTTTCGAAATATTTTCTAATTTAGTCGTTCCTTCCTCCTGAAGTTTCCCCAAATTCCACCATCCCTTTTTCTTTTCTCCTTCCTTTTAAAATCTTGTTCAAACTTTTTCCAATGTCCTGATTGGTTAAACCAATTTGGACGTGTATATATTTTTACTATTCCTTTGTCGTTTGGTATTTAGATACTGAGGACAACTCTCGTATAGCGAACCTGTACTATCGTATGTCCATTACTGTACTTTGTTAATTATTTAAAAAAAAATTATTATGCTCAAAAAATAATTGTTACGCTAACGAAATAAGTTTTAGTGGTATCACTTGTATTTAAAAGTTTATAACGATTAACGATATAACATTTGCGTCAAAAGTAATTTCGTCATCATTAATGAAACAAGTGCGGACACTTGTCCGCTAAGAGTTTAAAAAAAGAAAACGTATATTTTATTGCGCGATTTAAAACTTGAAGGTGTTTAATTAAATAACTGTTGACATTACAAACGTCTTTGAAAAAATATACTTTGAAGTGAATATTTCACTTTTTACAGATGTATATATAATGTAGCTTAATTAATAAGCTCTAAAATACAAAGAATATACAATAGCAATTATATAAACTACCAGTTTTTAAAATAATATTTTTTTAATATTATTTTTAAATTTTTTTCAACTCTTACAAAAATGATATTTATCGACAAATTTGCAAAGGCCTCTCCAATACTTGTGTATTCTGAAGATTGCCAAGAAATGAAAATCAAGTTGCATATTTTGTAGTTTCGGCAATTAGTTTTTTTTTCTTATTGTATATACATTTTCAAAATGGTATTTTTAGTTCAATTCCTTTTATTGTTTGAATGATCAACAAAAAGAACAAAAACAGATTTAACGTATCACATCGTAAACTGAAATATATTATCGCCTTCTTCCTACCATTCCGTACGTAGCAGAAAAGCGGGAACACTTAGTACTCAATCGAGGGAATTTTAATACTACCTGGTTATGAATATGTTATTAAATTGCATAAAAAGTATACCTTCTAGAGAGAAATTGATTGCAGATTTCAAATCAGCGACGCGAAAATACCTTTGACCTTTTCAAAAAAACTCATGGAACAGAAAACAATAAATAATTTGTTCCCCAATATAATTCGTACGGCTCCTTACCTGTCACGTAAGGATAAAATATAGTAAATTTTCAATAGTAAAAGAAGAAAAAAATTAAGCTTCAAAAGTAAATAATATTTTTTATTATTCTTGGCTACTGTAAACCTTCTAAACGTCAATTCATTTTTATAGTTTATAAGAAGTAATTCTTATAAGGACAATTAAAAAAAAAATGCATGATGAGGTTATTTACCCTAACGAGCTTAAAGTAAAATAATATTTTCTATGTTTTGTCACTTCTGTCTTGTCACTATCGTGCCCTTTATTAAGTTTTATATATTTTTTCCTAGACTTAACGTAAAAAATTAGAACTTCATCTATTATGAACTTCGCTATCAAAGTATATTTCATAAATTGCTATCAAAGTATATTTCATACAATTCAATACTATATGGATTAATTTTATTAGTACAACCAATTTTAAAAAAAAAGTACCGTGAAATCTTGTTTTTTTAATTTTTTATAAGTGTCATAATTCTGAAGAATCACCCTTATGTCCTTCCCCTTTTTTCAAATGAATATTTTTTTTCTCCATTTTGCAGCAGAACTCTAATGAATTAACTTTGTCTAACGTTCACCAACAATTTGTGGTAACAATTAATTTTATTACTACTGCCAATTTAAAAAAAAAGTGCTGTGAAATCTTGTTCTTTAATTTTTCTTAAATATCATAATTCTGAAGAATCACCCTTATGTCCTTCCATTTTTTTCAAATGAATGTTTTTTTTTTCCATTTTGCGGCAGAACTTTGATGAATTTATTTTGTCCAACGTTCACCAACAATTTGTGAACTTAGACTTATCTTATTCCTTCTCAAAAGAAATTATGTTTTGAAATATTTCTTTTTTTTTTCTTCAGGTCACCACATGCCTGCACCTGATCAGTTACGGTTGGCGTTAACTTGGAATCGAGTAGATATTGCAAGAAACGAAATATTTGTTTACGGTCAGGAATGGCCAGTAAGATAATTTTTTTACTGTATTAATGTATAATTTTACAAAATAGTCTAAACCAGTTGTTCCCCACCTATGTGAAAGAAACAACAAATATGAGAGTGTTGTTTCTTTTTGAGAAATAGTCGCCGTTATTATCGCAGATGAAAATCTCTAACAAAAAACTATCAGTAGTTCTTACAGTTTTTTTTTTATATAAAGAAAAATTCCAACGAAACTTAAGAGCAGAAATAAATACTCACCCAAGGCTTCCAACTTTCGAAGCTTTGGGAGAAAATTAACCTCTATTCGTAGCAGTGGCGTAATTTTGGAGAGTTGGCAAAAATAACCAAAATTTCAAAACCTTTAGCTTTTGAATGCATACCACCATGTAAAATATTTTGCAAAAACGTTTCTCATTTTTGTTTGTGAAGACATATATTGTGGGTACATTTATTTTATACTAACTCCTTTTTAAAGGAGGATTTTTAACGATTTTTGTGCTTGTCATATGTAAGCTTTTATGGAGAAGTTTTAATGTTTTTCGACGAATAATAATTTTGTTTGAGAAGCTAAAAGAAATATACTTATATTTCGGCTTGGATTCATGAAATAAAATATCAGCCACCACTGCTTAGAACATACTGAAAACAAATTTTATCTACCCTTGTTTGCCTGAAAATTGCTCCAAAATGATTCGGGGGTAGCGCGAGCTCAACATTTGAAATTCTTCCGGTATTTATAGTATAAATTTGTGAGAATTTGGAAAATATTAATTCGAAAAAATTATATTTTTAAGCAGCGCCAATTGTGATCAAATTATTATGTCATTTCGCTACTTCTAAAGGTATGCCTAAGACTGAATAAAATTATTTTTACTAGTTTTAATACAAAAAATTTCTATATTTTTTCAAGAGTATTAATTTTTTTCAATTTTTTCATTAAAAATTAGCAGTTTCGTGCAAAAAAACGACATTTTATTTTGTATAAAAATGTTTATGAAACTGTTTGGAGTATTTTTTTAAACAACGCTATCAGGCAGCGTTGGTAAATAATAATAATGACATAAAAATTGAAATCAAATATAGAATCAACATGGCTAACAGATGTTATCATGGTTTCAGAAACCAGTTCAAATCTAAATACATAAGCTTCGAAACAAAAATATAGTTGTACAAGACACTAGTTTTATATGTACACCAGTATTCACTGACATAAAAAACAAGCTTTATAAGGCAGTGAATACTGGGCAGTTAATAAAGCAGACGAAGAGAAACTGGTGACTTTCGAGAGAAAAACACTAAGAAAATTTTTAGTACAATAAGAGAAAATGGAACCTGGAGAATTCGTTACAACCATGAATTACAATTAAAATACAAAGAACCTGACATAGGAAAAGTGATCAAGGTTTCTCAAATAAGGTGGCTAGGACATGTATTTCGATATAGCGATGAAAATCCTATTAAAAAATAACCTTTCAAACGCCAGAGGGAAAAAGAAAGGTCCGGGGTTCCCTTCTCTGACAGAGCAAGGTTGACGACTTAGCTTTTCTATCCTTCAATAGGTTAAGGCTGAGTGCTAGAAGCTTTTGCTTTTCTCAATTAAATAGATATCCCACAAAAACAAATTGATAATGTGTAAGCTACAAATCGTTTGCGGTCACTAGAGGACGGGGTCTTGAACAGCGAGAGGACCACTCGTCTGGAGTGATAGATTTATGAGGAATTAGAATGCAGAACGTCTTATCTTAACAATTTGTTCTTCTGGAATATAACATTTCTTTCAATTTGTTTTTGTGGGATATCTATTTCATTGAGGAAAGCAAGACTAAACACCGGGGGTTCCTCTTTCGGTTGGCCACTCAACCGGCACATCTGCTCCAGAAGCATCCGCTCCTGGAAGCATAAGCCTCCTGGAACATCTGCTTCGCAGTGCCTAAAGTCAAGAAAACTGAGATGGTCACAGTAGAGCTTGGTCCTCCATGGACTGTCATGGCTCTCAATTTAATTTAATTTTTTTAAAAAAAACGTCGTTTAATTAGTCAAAAGATATCTAGAAGTTGGATTCTCTGTGAAACTAGTAATGTTAAAATAAAGGCACTACTATCTAATTATTATCTTTAGTTAGAATAAATTTAAAAATTCATTTTTAATTCTCGTCATTTATAAATTACAACCAGTTACAACGCATAGCCAGTTACCAACGTGCTTATAGACATAAATAAAGAGCATTACTGTTTGCCAAAACAAGCCGTATATTTTGAAACGAATAATGGCAATTATTCAAGTTATATTCTCAAATTTGTCAATTTAAGTAGCTTCATCGACATGTTAATGACACTTTAAGAAATGTTTATCCCATCAGATTACATCCATTATCGAAAATAATTAATCCCTTTTTCCGGAGAAGATGTCATAAATTGGGAAGAAAGCTGTTGTGGGTATTTTAAATCCAACCTTGACGAGTAACATATTGTGGTATCACAAATATTTTCGCTTCAAATAGTGCAGAGTCTGTTAAGATTCGAAACGGTTTCTGCTTGTGTGGTAATTATCTTTCAATTATTTCACAATGTAAATAATTTATTGCGTTTTCGGAAAGTTAGACAATATTTTAATTAAAGTTCTGAAGATGAAGTTTCCAGTTATAAGATGAAGATAACGATGTATATTTTCTAGCTGTAGATTCTTATCTTTTTTCTGCAATGTTAAGCGAATATTCTCTGAAATTAAGTTTCTTGCATTCGATTAAATGAAACTATTTACAAAAGATTCAGAATATGTCATACTTGCACACCAGGCCTGAAAGCGAGACAGAAAAGAGAAAATACTGGTAGGAGAACTAATTCAATATTAGATAATATTCGGGAGGAGTTAATCTATTCTTAACGATAAACAATTCACTATAATTAACTTTTTCTCGTCGAAGAAGTAATTAAATATAAAAATTGTATCCGTTAAGAACAATTGGTAATTAAAGATTTTTATTATTCTCGAAAAAAATTAAAAAATGAAATTTATTTGTTCCCAGTTTTTACTCTTTTCCGTCTTGATATATGTGGGCTTTCAGCCCTCTTACACACCGTTCGTCGATTTTATGATAGTTTTTGAGACACCCTCTATATACACTGTACTGCTTCTTACTTAGGGAAAAGAAAACAGTAATATATAGTTTAGAATTAAAAACAGTAAAAGCTTTCAGTAGGACGTTTTTAGAAATCTAAAAATGAAATGGATTTACTACCTGTATTTTTCGAGGAGCAGACAGATCTGACAAATTGATAATCACATATTCAACAGACCTTCTCATAGTTGTTAAAATTTGTATAAAAATGAATTCAATAAGAAGTTTTGATTATTTAAATTATATATAGCCACCATTATCTGTTATTTTTCAAATTAAATATATTAGTACATAATTCCTAATTCATTTTGGCAATGGAGCCCTAAATATTTTAATAAATGAGTGGAAATATTTGATGATTGAAATTTCATTAATTGTTTTGTAAATACACTGATGGAAGAAAAACTCCCAACACCAAGAAAAAAATATTATAGAGAAATGGAATTTCAGAAATGCATTTGTCTGAGTAACATGTATAATTGATATTATAGAGTAATGAAATTTCAGAAATGCGTTTGTCTGAGTAACATGTAAAATTGATATTATAGAGAGATGAAATTTCAGAAATGCGTTTGTCTGAGTAACATGTATAATTTATATTATAGAGTAATGAAATTTCAGAAATGCGTTTGCCTAAGTAACATGTATAATTGATATTATAGAGTAATGAAATTTCAGAAATGCGTTTGTCTGAGTAACATGTATAATTGATATCATAGAGTACTGAAATTTCAGAAAAGAGTTTGTCTGAGTAACATGTATAATTAATATTATAGAGTAATGAAATTTCAGAAATGCGTTAGTCTGAGTAACATGCATAGTTTATTGAAGTTTCAGGATCACAAGCTAATGCAATCAAGAGAAAAACCGCTTCAAGTGAGCATTCTTGTGCATTAATAACCGGTGTAACCACCGGAACTTTGAATGCAAACATGCATTTGTGTCATACAGAGGCCGCATTTCATTTTGTGGGATGGTATCCCATGCCTGTTGCATTTGGTCAATAAATACAAGAACAGTTAGTGCTGATTGTGGATGACGCTGAAGTTGTCGTCCAATTATGTCTCATACGTGCTCGATTGGGGAAAGATCTGGTGATTTCACAGGCCAAAGCATCATGTCGACATTCTGTAGAGCATGTTCGGTAACAACAGCAATATGAGAATGCTGTTCGTGAATGACAACAAAACAGGTTGAATCACCAGGGTGACGTACAAATAGCATTTACGGTGTGTGGAATAACCACGAGAGTGCTCTTGCTGTCATAGGAAATTGCTCCCCAGACCATAGCTCAAGTTGTAAGTCCAGTGTTCTTAAGCCGAAGACAAGTCGGTAACTGGAGCTCTTTCTTACCAATATACGGCTGTCACTGGCACCATAGGCAGAATCGACTTTTATCAGAAAACACAATAGATCTCAACTCGACACCCACGTCGTAAACGACAGTGGTTTTGAGTGAGTGGAATGCAAGCTACAGGGCGTTTCGCTGGGAGTTGTACTTGAAGTAGCCAATTTGTAACAATTCGTTGTGTCACTGAAGCGCCAACTGCAGCTCGAATTTCTGATGCGCGGAGTACGGTGTGCTACAGCCATATGCCGCACCCGGCTGTATACTAAGTTTACAAATTGGAATTCTGTAAATATTTTAACTATAAGAAAAAACAAACAAAAAAGAATAAAAATTTAAAGAATTTTAATTTTTTTTCTCTATCAAGTATGCAACAAGAAATTCGACAATTTTGCATTTGTGGCTTTCATTTTTATTCCGAATTTCTTAAAATAATAATGCTAATTCAAAACAACATTATTTAAACATTTGACTTGAAATATTGGTTTATAGAAAATATGATCAATGAATTTTATAAAGAGCACTGTTTGTATATATATATATATATATATAGGGT